TCATTATACAGCGTAATGTTATCGTTAACTATATCGTTGAGCCCCATTTAATACCATGATAGAAAGAGAATGACTTATTTTATGAATAAATTAGTTACTCATAGAGAAACAGAGAGTGATCAATATTAATATGAATAATTATGAATAATGTTAAGCACTTACCAGCATAATATTGAGGGGCTTTCTGATTTTTAGGATTTTCAGCTTGGACTTCTGAGATGACATGCTTACTAGAATCATCACTGGGGCTGTCAGTTATCTCTGATCCAGAAACATCGGAAAATACTGGAAATAAAACATGCACAAACATGTACAAAATTTAATTACTAGGTATCATAGACTCGTGGCACTGAAGAGAAAGAAATGATGCAAGGAAAAAAAAAAGAAGAGGAAATTAATCCCCTTTTTCCAAGGTGGAGATTGTGTCAGAGACGATATTCCAAAGTTCCCCAAAGGGCTTGTTATTACAAGGGATCAGATAGCCGGCGGCTAGTCATATTACCTCTTCCACATTTTTCCTTTTAACCATACATGGAAACCATTTGAGGGCAAACCTAAACTGGTCTGAACAAGAGGCAAGGTGTAGCTGGCTATTATTTTGGAGGAGAAATGAGGCAGGGTGTGTCACAAAAGGTCTGTATGCACCTATTTTGACAAGGTTTATCCTTTGGTATTCTATAAGCCACACACCTATACACATTCTTCACCGTTTAACCATAAAGCCCCTACAATACTTGTGTTCAGTCATCCCTGAATCCTAGCGACTCTGAAAGGACTTGCATTCCATTGCACAATACCCTAGTGACACATCTGAGGTCCACTTAAAAAAGCCTAGAGGTGATACAAACCATTACCACAGTGCGATTCCTTAAGTACTGACGTTTCATTATTTAAATAAAGCCATCTTATAACATGAGACACTCAAATAAAGTGAGATAATTAATTAACCATATGTAACCATAATAATTAATTGTCACATATGGGAAACATGCATTGATTGCCCTCCAAACCAGTATCTATGTCCTCTTCTGGTGTTTCGCAGTCCAGCATCTCTTTCAGACGCTCGGCCACATCAGCTGTACTTTCATCTGGAAACATGTAGTCACACACAGACAGGCCGGAGATGGGCACTGGTGCAAACACACGCCGAGGAAGAGCCTGCTGCCCACTGCACAGACCAAAGACAAACAATATGGGAACTTATGTCTTGAATTATGAATACATTTATTTTTGTACTATGCACAAAATGATGTCACTCAATGAAGACAACTGTGACCCTGAACCTCAAAACCAGTCAAAAGGGTACATTTTTTGAAATTGAGATTCATCTGAAAGCTGAATAAATACGCTTTCCATTGATGTATGGTTTGTTAGGATAGGATATTTGGCCGTGATACAACTAAAAGAAATCAAAATATTGAGAAAATCACCTTTAAAGGTTTCCAAATTAAGTCCTTAGCAATGCATTTTCCTAATGATAATACATTTTGATATATTTACGGTAGGAAATTTACTAAATATCTTCACGGAACATGATATTTACTTAATATCCTAATGATTTCTGGCAAAAAATAAAAATGTATAATTTTGACCCATACAGTGTATTTTGGCTAATGCTACAAATTTACCCGAGATACTTATGACTGGTTTTGTGCTCCAGGGTCACAATTGTGGCAACCTACTGCCATCTAGTGGTCAATTTGGTGTTTGCAAAAGTTTGTTGTGGAAAGGATAGTGCACCCGAAAATGGAAGATTCTGTTATCATATATTCACACTCGTGTCATTCCAAATTTGAATGACTTTCTGTATTCTGTGGAACTTAAAACAAGATATATTGGTAACCATTTTTATATCCCTCTTCAATTATATGGACAAAAATGCAATGGAAGTCAATGGACTGAAAGGGTTACTAATATTCTTCACGATATCTTCTTTTATGTTCCTCAGACGAAAGACAGTCATAAACATTTGCAACAACTTGAGGGTGAATAACTGATGACAGCATTTTCATTTTTGGGTGAACTATCCCTTCCAACAGCACATGTAAGTCATGATGGACCACTGTACCTTTGTGACTCCCTTCATTTATTAAAAGATCTTCCAGAAACATCTCCACTCTGGAGCAAACCGTGTTTATGATGCCTCTCTTAATGGCCTACCAGTACAAAGAGAATATAAATCAGTATTAATCTTCTCAAAGACAGCAAATAACAGGCAAACAGAAAAAAAGTGTATTTAGTCAGCTTTCTGATCATGACAAATGTTGTGTAATATAATTTTCATGCTACGGCTGATAACCGATAAATGAATAAATTATTTTGTCTAAATGAATATTAAAAAAAAAGAAAGAAAAAAAGTTGAATTGAATGAATTGAAAAAATGAATTCAGGCATTACAACATTATAATGTACAGTATAAAAAAATGAGTTTACTTTGAGATTTGCTAAAGATTACATTTAAAAGCATTATTTAATTATGAGTGTTTTAAAGATTTTAAGTGAGTGTTAGATGATTGGCAATGGTAATCTAAAAGTAAAATAGGGGGAAATGAGCACTAACAATTAAATATCCAATATCAGTATATTTGATATATATCAAACATTAGTTCTTAACAATATGGTAGTGATATATTGCACATCCCTAAGCATAGAGCAGTATGAATAGGCTCTAATGACCTGTGCTGCATGTCTGGCTTTGGGTTTGTTGTTGTGGATGTAGGCCCTGCAGTAAACCACCCCTCGAACCTTCACGGAGCCACTGCACACCTGAACCAGAGCACTGCTGGTACTGCTGGCACTCATCCAGCTCTGACTGTTCCTGTGACATTGATATACTTATTATATATTTGACAATACACACATATTTGCACCATTGATAATCTTCATCAGAAGAAACTATTAGAAGCTGCTCACATCAGTGACAAAGATCCGTGCTGGCAGTGTCTGACGATGGGTAGTTTTTGGGTTCTTTTTCTGAAAAGAGCAAACATCAACTCAAATGAAGAATCATTATGACAGTGGAATGACAGAGTGAAGTTTTTACCTGTCCTGATGAGAGTTCAGAGTCATCTAATGCCTGTCTGCCATTTATGAGACAGTAAGCAGCCTCAATCTGTTCAGCCCACCTCCTAAGACCATCCTGGACAAGGGAGGCAAAGGAAGATTAAACTCACAACATATCAACCTACTCTGCTCATTTTCCACAATATCCTACACAAGAAAAACACTACCTTGTTTTCCATGCACCCTTCATACCTTCATGCACTTGTCTGTGATATCAGAAGACACAAGGATCTGCACATCCACCTCAACAGAGCAGATCAACATGGGCCAGGATGATGAGACACCTGTCTGATACTTCCAGTCTGCTGGCTTGGCCGAACTCTATAAATGCAAAACAAATAAAACACAGATTAATCCAATACTATCTGCCACACTATTCCAAGCTTTAAGACAAAAAAAGTGTCTCTTACCTGTGGATCTTTCACATCAAATGTTTTGCAGACAGTTCTGCACAT